ACGCCAATAAAAAAAAAAAAAAAAAAAAAAAAAAAAAAAGAAAAAGAAAAAAAAAAAAGAAAAGAAAGAAATGGAATCTCACAGCATAGACCATTTGGGTCTGGCTCTGTCCTTCACTTTTGAAACCAACGCCTCCGCTTCTCCCTGTCCAGCCAGGGATCACTGTGATCACGACTGCCACCCACCCTGTGAGTGTCACCGCCCATGGCAAAGGGCTTTACTCCGTGATGGACTTTGACGGGGGGAGGATCCGGATACCCAGGTGGCCACAGATGTAATCACGGGGCCTCTGGGGAGGGAGGCAGGTCAGAGTCAGAAAGCAACCATGAGAATCTTTGCATCGGGGCCTTGGGAAGCTGGGCGAGCCAGGAGACACTGCCAGCTAGAGCCTCTGAGGCAGCCTGTGAGCTGTGGCTGCCCTGTGACACGTCTGCCAACTCCTGACCCCAGCTCTGAGGTGTAAGCCGTGCTGCTCTGAGCCACCAGCCATGGGGACCTGTGGCAGCAGCCTCAGGAGATGCACGTGGTGAGTTCTGAGCCGGGAGCCCACTGGCATGTGTGTAGGCAGGCCCTCGGACAGGCGGCTCCCTGCTGCCCTGCGTCCTGGCCTTCCACCTGGGGCCTCTCCTGGCCGCCTCCTACCTGAGTCCAGTCCGTATGGAGCCTTCCTTCCATGGAGCCATCTCAGAAAGCCAGCCCGGTGACAGCCTGCCAGCACACTCGCTCTCCTGCTGTGGCTGCGCTTGCCGGGCAGGTGGCTCGGGTTGGTGTTGGGAGCCACAGGCTAACCGGACGGCCCTCGGCAGCCCCTGTGGGGCTGGCAAAGGGCCGGGCGTGTGGAGGGGCACAGAGGGCACAGTGGGATGATTGGGGGTGAGCCTGCAGCCAGGCTGGGGAATGGAGTGTGTCTGGGACTAAAATGTCATTTTGGGTAAAGGACAGTTTGGGAGGCAACAAAATGATCCAAAGACCCAGCCACAGAAGATTTCCTTCCTTCCCGCCTTCCCTCCCTCCGTCCTGCCTTCACTTCCATGGTCAGTGGGTGTGTATGTTTGCCAGAGAAAGACAGAGAGGGGGAGAAAGCACCCGCAGTGGGGTGTGGTCACACCACAGCTCCGTCTCCATCCCCACCCTGCCAGCATTCTAGGCGCACACATACACAGTATACTGAAGTCTGCAGGGCCAGGGTTTGAACCACATCAGCCATAGGGGATCTGGCTCCTTCAATCTAGGTTCAGGGCCAGCCACCTTCGTTCTTTTCTAGTTCATTTCTTTCTTGCTTCCTTTTTTTTTTCCCTTCTTTTTTTATTTGCCATAGGGCACATGTGCTTGCCAGAAAGAGAAAGTGAGAAATCACCCCAGGGGGTGGCCACGCCGCAGTCCCTTCTCCATTCTCCTCTCAGGATTTTGGGCACGCACGCACATGTGCCCAGCATGGTTTTTTCTATCAGCCGAATTCGGGACTAGAACTGTAGTCAGCCATGTGGGATCCAGCTGCTTTAACCGTCATGCCAACTGGCCTGCATTGATTTCTTTTTTTTTTTTTAAGAGAGATACTTTTGCCATAAGGTGTGTGTGCTTGCCAGAGAAACAGAGAGACAGAAAGCAAAAAGATCACCCCTCAGGGGAGATGGCTACGCCTCAACCCCTTCCCCTCTTTCTCCATTTTCCCTCAGGATCTCGGGCACAGGTACATGCCTGATGTGAGGTTTAAGTCACTGGTCTGGGACTCAAACCACGGGCGACTATGTGGGAGTCCAGTGATGTAGCCATGATAACAGCTGCTGCTCCCCCTCTAATTGATTTCTAATTTTTAAAAAAGACTTATTTATTTAGGGACCAGCAGTAATGGCTATGTCGCTGGACTCCCATGTAGTTGAGCACAGTTCGAGTCCTGGACCTGGTGGCTTAAACTCACGCCAGGCGCATCTGTATGTGTGCCCAAGATCCAGAGAGGAGAATGGAGGAGAAGGGATTGTGGTGTGGCCATCCCTCCTGGGCAGTTATTTCTCACTTTCTGTCTCTCTGTGTCTTTCTGGAGAGCGCATGTGCCCTATAACAAAAACCTCTCAAAAATTATTGAACTCCATTTGTTATTATTATTTTTTAGTTTGACAGAGAGAGCAAGAAAGGGAAAACAAGAAAGCAAGCCACCAGGTCCGGGACTCGAACCACGGTTGGCCATGTGGGAATCCAGTGCCCCTAACTACCATGCCACCTGCCGGTCACTAAATGATTTTTTTTTTTTTTTGGCTATAGGGCACGTGTGCTCGCCAGACAGAGAGAGACAGAGAGACAGAAAGAGAGAAATCACCCCCCAGGGGGGATGGGCACGCCGCAATCCCTTCTCCTCCATTCTCCTCTTGGGATCTTGGGCATGCATGCACACGCACCCGGCATGAGTTTTAAGCCACTGGGTCTGGGACGTGAACCGCGGTCGACTACGTGGGAGTCCAGCGACATAGCCATTACGCTAACTGCTGGTTCCCCCGGCCACTAATTGATTTTTAATACTATTTGGTTGTCGGGAAAGTCCTGATATAATTTGTTATGTTTTTCTATGCAAAAAGTACATTGTGACATTCCAGAATGCATCATAAAACCAATAGTTGGATTTTATCACACTCCCAGATAAAGCAGCTCAGGAACCAGTAGATGGTGGACTCCCACGTAGTCAACCAACGTTTGAGTCCCAGACATGGCAGCTTAAAACTGACACTGGTGTGCATGTGTGCATGCCCAAAATCCCGAGAGGAGACTGGAGAAGGGATTGCAGTGTGGCCATCCCCCCGGGAGGTGAGTTATTGCTTTCTGTCCCTCTGTCTCTGGCGAGGGCAGGCAAACTGTAGCAAAAACCGTTCTAAAAAAAAAAAAAAACACA